CAACAGTGAAAAGGGACCCCTTTCAAACAGTGTCACGTTCTGAACATTGTATGAACCGGTATACCGCCCAGCACTAGTCATTATGCTATGAGAATGATTACTAGACCCCGACCGATATATTGTTTAGCCGATATTATCGCCCGATATGAGCCTGTCGCCGATACATCGGTATATATATATATATATATTAGGGGTGGAACGGTACACAGATGTCACGGTTCGGTACGTACTACGGTTCGAGGGTCACGGTTTGATACGATTTCGGTACAACGGGGAAAAAAACGTAATCTACTATGCTCGCTTTCTTTTCATTTATTTTGAACAGACAGTAGTACAAATTAAAAAATGTTACAGCTAGATAAGAAAATACGCAATATTATTACATTGTTATATATATAAAATCTGCAGTACATATATACATACAAGGAATAAATTCTTGAAATATATTTGATTTAGTTTACAGAAAAACAAGAGAAAAAACTGTGCGACACGTAATGTAGCCTATATACGCTGAGTTTGTTCATTTTTGTGACAGGCTTAATTTGTTCACAGAAAGGAAACTCAAATGGCAGAAAGCGACATCCTATTTGTTTTCTTTATTTTACAAAAGCACAATGTTTTGTTTTCATTGTGAGTGTACACAAATAAAAACAGACCTTTATACAGTGATGCATTATTAATAAGACAATGTGTTTAAAGTTGATTCTGCTGGTATAAGGTAACCGTTAAAGTGATCACGCTGGCGCGCTCGCACACACACACACACACACACACATCAGTTCCAGCATTGCTAACTTGACAGCGCAATTGGTACTTTATCAAAATAAAATAAAGTGAACCAAACATCAGCATGCCCGCCTCTGTGTCACCATTGGAACGCGACTAAAGTACAAACATAAATGTATATATTTGCATAATAAATAATAGTTTAGCATTCAGATACGTTACATCACAAATATAGAAATATTATGGAATATTTGGATTTGTGCCGAATGAGAGAGGTAGGATACACGAGTACAAAGCTCCATTTCGCAAATAGTTGAGTGCACAAGCCTTTAAAGTATACTCCTTTGTCCGTCTGTGAGAGACGCATTCAGAATCAGCACATGGTCACTGTCTAGTGGGCTTTGTTTTCAAGTGCGCAACTTATGGCATTCGCTGTTCTTCTGCTGGCGGCCGGTTATCAAACAGTGTTGCATTGCTGCGGGCGCTAAAATTATGCAACAGCCTGGCACTTTTCCAAAACACTGTTTTGCTTTCCGTGATGTGTTAGTTAGGTGAGGGTGTGGCAGCTTTTGGGCTGAATGACAGATCTGGCAGACAATCAGACAGACGGCGAAGGAAGGAAGGAAGCAATGTGCTCTCTTGGGTTTACGGCTTTCCTGCCAACTCCAGAAAGGGAGATGGGAACAGTTAGAGACAGACGATGAATGTATGGAGCGGGAGAGGAGAGACGAGACCATCTGTCCCTCTCATCTGAAGGATTTCTGCAGGCTCAGCCAAAAAGGGCTCAAATCGTTTCAGATTTGCCCTCCACCTGAAGAATGCTCAGCCATGTGCATACTCAGACTTTAAACAAATTCTATTTGACAACGAGCTTCTAGAATTCATGTGGTTGGCAGTAGAATAACTGGCCTGTGAATGGGTGCTGTGGCGAGGCTGATTTGATTAAATAGTCAGAGATGAATGTGACTGTGAATGTAACTTCTTTGAATGGAAATGGTCAGCTGTTTGCATTACCTAACTGCGGATTTCCATCCGAATTATCGCGGGAGGGACACAGATTTACATGTAGCCATTCATAGCTCAAAATGAGCTAAGGCAGCATGACAAACTGAAACGAATGAAGACGCTGTTTGGGGAAAATGGCTGACATGATGCCATCACGCTATTTGTGGTTGACACGGCATTGATGCACGATTGCTAAGGTGTTCTGAGTGTTTTTTGCGGCTGTTCAGCGGTTGGTAGGTTATTTCTTGCAGCCTCAAGTTCCTCCTTCCAATATACACTACCATTAAAACATTTGGGATTAGTAAAAATTTTTTACTATGCTTATTATGTAAATTACAATGCTACAAAAGATTTTTATTTTTAAAAAATGCTGTTCGTTTGAACATTCTGTTGCTCAAAGAATTCTGAAAATAAATTGTACCACGTTTTCACAAAAATATTAAGCAGCACAACTGTTTTCAATTTTGATCATGAGAAATGTTTAATGAGCACCAAATCAGCGTGTTAGAATGACTTCTCATGTGACACTCAGGACTGGAGTAATGGCTGCTAAAAAAATTGCGTTTTAAAATGTATTAAATAGAAATCAGTTATTTTAAATTGTAATATCATTTCACAATTTTACTAAACTGAGACTTTCTTCCAAACATTAAAAAAATCTTGACATATGACTGGCAGTAGTCAAAGTTTACTTTTTTTGCCCCCTTTTTTGCCATTTGTTCAAATCCCTAACCACATGTAAGAATGATATTAATAGTTTAGCAAGCACCACAAATGAGTAGGAAAAATATCATGGTAAGGATCAAACATGGTCTGAAAATCGGCATCACACAGTTAACCATGACAGCCAATTAAGTTGATTGGTTTACATGGCTTGTGCCCTAGAAAACAGGGTTGTAATTGTGGACATCCTGACACTAGTGAATATATAGATGCTATGTAGATGGGAAAAACAAAATCGGGAACCTTATTGTGTATAAATTCATGACTTTTAGGGAGTTACACTATAGTTGCAAACAAAAAAATGCGAAATCATTATTATTACTATAATTTTTCATATGTATTTTTTTGTAAAGAGAAGCTTTGTTGAATGAAAGCATGTAAATATAAATATATTAATGACTAATTATAAATATTTCCAGACACATACCATAATATGATCAAAATATAATGTTAATTTAAAATATACATTATAAAAATATAATGAATAGTTTTTTTTTGTGCTAGTGACGATGTTGGCAGGGTAAGCATAAATCTGAACTACTGACCCCACTGGGCCGGCAGACAAAACTCTTATTGTTGAGCCCTTTAAGAGTTTCGAACAACATGAGGGTGAGCAAATAACACAGTTTTCATATTTTGGATGAGCTATTCCCAAATGAAAGGATTCTTTATACAAGTCACTGCAATTTCAGTTTTTGAATTGTGGTGTAATTATTGAAATTCTCGTGTAAACAGCTCTTGATGATCCACCGAAAGCTCTTGGCAGATTATTGGCCATGGCCTGCTGATGTTTGGATGACAGGGGTTCATTGCAAAGCAATTGGAAGCTGATCGGCCTGTCTGAAGAGCAGCAGTACCACGGGATGCTCTTGCTTGATGAGTGGCAGACAGGCTGGATTATTTCAGGATCTGACCCTTCAGATTGGCACGAGGATTATCACGGTTTAGTTAGTGAGACACCGTTGAGATTACAGCACGGGTTAGCGGTCAACATGCTACCCTCTGGATCTCGGCTTCAGATGCTGTGATTATATTTTCACTCCTCACATCAAACCATCTCACAACTAAGAGCTTAATCCCCTGGGACCAAATCCGCAGGCAATCTGTTGGATGATTAAAGACACTTGGACGTTGCCTGTCTAGTATCTGTTGCTCTTGTCTAGATACGTGGCCGTGTATGCCTGAATCATGTGTAGAGTTGTAAAAATTCCCTTGGAATATATTTTCCTAATTGCTCTGTCTAATCTTTGCAGGGGTTTTTTAAAAGAGAGTGCTTGTTTTCATGAATTTAATACCAGTCTAATCAGAATGTATCACATTGACAGCATGAGCTTCGCATCTCTGCTTGATGTGTTAGTCTGAAAGCAATGACTCATTTTCTGTCTCAATTTAGAGGTTGTGCACACAATTATGAATGGCCTATAATGCGCTAATTTATGAATGGACTGACAGTAGGGTTGTCACGATACTAAAAATCAGTTGTTTATACCAATACCAATCAAATTTCACTATTCAGTATCATTTTTGATACTACAAAATTATTATCCAAAATATTAGTTTGGTCACACTTTATTTTAAAGTCCAGTTCTCACTATTAACAAACCATTAACTACGACTTTTGCCTCAATAAACTACTAATTGGCTGCTTATTAATAGTTAGTAAGGTAGTTGTTAAGTTTAGGCATTGGGTAGGATTAGGGATGTAGAATATAGTCATGCAGAATATGTGCTTTATAAGTACTAATAAACAGCCAATATAAGCATGCTAATAAGCAACTAGTAAATGGGGAGAATTGGTCCCTATACTAAAGTGTTACGATTAGTTTAAATATTAAAAAATAAACCAACTGCTTCATCATCTTCAAGTAAACAATCAGTAGTAAAGAATGAATCAGGTCATTTTTGACATTCCTATGTGAACAACATCATAAATGTAGGGTGTTATCGATTTAAAAGTTAATGTTGGTGAGTTTTAACAATAAATTCTCCTTTTCTTTCTTTCATCTACAGGAGATCATTGTGCGAATGAGTGAGTGATGCAGGTTTCGTTTCTCCAGGTAAGTCTATTAATTTGATTCTCGACAAGCGCAGAAGTTCCTGTGGGGACAATCCTTTCTTAAATAAAAAAAGTTGGATTTTGGTAGCGCTGTTAAATAGTCAAAGGGACAGTTCACCCAAAAATTTACATTTAGTTGTGAAATGGTTCTTAGTGATTCTTACAATGCAGGTCAATGTCTACCGTCACTTGAGAGTCCAAAAAATTAATACCCGTGGCTCCTGATGATATATTGAGGTCTTATGAAGTGAAATGATCAGTCTGTGCCTGCTACTGTAGCTACAGTTCGCAAACTCTCACTATAGGTAGAGTTGGAAAGAGATTGAAGAATCACTAGATATCTGGCAGAGTGCTAAATGTTTTGATGGAGCCTGGGAGGCTCAATTTACACATTTGGGGGAGATAAACCCATGAGTGGCAATGGCATACTTATAGTAGTCAATGAACAATAAACCGGGTTAAGACAATGTATTTTTGTGCAAAAAATCTTACACACTTTACAATTAAATAGTGCTGTGAAATTATAAGACTGAAGAAACATGTCATAGATTGATTTTGGGTCATGTTTTGTTTACTCTGTTTCAGGGCAGTATGGGTGTGTGTCCCCTGCTCCTGCTACTCCACGTAGCCTTTGTGGCCCTCAGCACGGCCCAGACACTCCCTGACCCTTCAGGTAAGGCACTTTTATGGAGCACAAAAGCCTTGGTTAACACAGTCGCTTTACCTCCATTAGAAAAATCTAACTAATTACTCTCTAGTTATTTTTTGGTGGTGGTGCATTTCCTGCAGAGTCACCTGTACTCCACATTGGTCTTGGCTTGTGAATATTAAAATTTTCAGTAACTTATGTCAGCTTACTCAATTGAGATCAATTGTATTTAACCTGGAAGATTCCTATACAGGAGGTTAAAGGCAAGCCTACTTTAAAGTACATGAAGGTGTACCGTTGCAATCCATCTTCTCCCAGTAAAAATGTAAAATATTTTGAGGCCCAGAAAATTACCCAGGAATTGCCTGGAGGAAATGGCATTTCCTCACATACCTAATTTTGTTTTGTGAGATACTCAACGACGTTCACCTGTTAGTGTTGAGATCCCAAACTTCCTTTAAATATACACTACCTTTTAAAAGTTTAAGGTTGATAAGAATTTTAAAATGTTGTTGAAAGAAGTCTCTTATGCTCACATAGGCTGATTTTATTTGATCATAAATACAGTAAAAAAAAAAAGTAATATTTTAAATATCTTTACAATTTAAAAGAACTGTTTTCTATTTTAATATAGTTAAAAAATGTATTTATTCCTGTAATGGCAAAGCTGAATTTTCAGAGTCACATGATCCTTCGGAAATCATTCTCAAGTGCTGATTTGCTGCTCAAGAGACATTTCTTATGTCTTATGTCAATTATTGTCAATGTTGAAAAGTTGTGCTGCTTGACATTTTTGTGGAAACTGTGATTTTTATTTTTAGGATTCTTGGATAAAAGCTTTAAAATCTCTCTCTCTCTCAGGTGCAGTCCTGACCGCCAAACCTACACACCCTCCTCCCACATCACCCGCTATAGTCACCCAGTCACCCCCATCAATCACCCCATCTGCAGCACCATCTCCTGAACTTGTTGTAACAACAGGACTCAATGATTCTGCGGGGGTGGTGACCCCAGAGGTTCCCACAGCCCCTCCTGTTGTCGCCCCTCCAATTGTGGCCGTCCCTACTGAGGCACCACCCGCCCCCCCAACCCCATCTGCCGCGTCCCCGTCCCTCACCACTGTCAAGACTACAGTTTTGGCTACAGCAGAGCCCCCTAAACCTGACCCGACACCCACTCAGTCCACTTCAGAGCCTGAGACAGACACTCCATCGGCCCCTACAGATGCAACCACAGCTGACATCAGCAAGCCTCCAGGTACCATTTGTGTTTTTGTTCATTTCGAAACAGATTGAACCGTTATTTTATCCTAGTCTTTTCCAACTATTTCCAGTGTGTTTTCTGTCATTCTATGTTAATCTGTTGCTGTTGCGTCTTTCTGTTTTTCTCATGTAATGAAGATGATGATGGGCAAGGTGAGTTTCAGTTACCCTTTTCGCTAAAATTTCATGCAGAATGAATTTTTCTTTTTAGGTTTACTAGTAGCCATCTATTACACAACTGTTAGGAGTTTTTTTTTTTTAAATGGCTGTTGCAGATATATTAGGCCCATGGTCAGTTAAAAACCGATATACAGTCAATGATGTCACACACTTACATTTTAAGATATAAAATAATAAATAAAAATAAATAAATAAAACAAAAATAATAAATGAATTAGGAGTTCATAAGTCTCTTATGCTCAACAAGATTGCATTTATCAGATCAAAAATACAACTAAAACTGTAATAGTATGAAATATTATTATAATTCAAAATAACTGTTTTCTATTTTAATATACTTTAAAATGTAATTCATTCCTGTGATGGCAAAGCTGAATTTTCAGCAGTCATTTCTCCAGGCTTTAGTGACACAGAAAATCATTGTAATACAGGTGCATCTCAATAAATTAGAATGTCGTGGAAAAGTTAATTCTTTAAAACATAAAATTAGTTTTTTTGAATGCTACAAGTACATTTTTTAATGGTTTTACTTTTGTATTATTACATAAACTATTATAGTGTTTATTAATATTTTAAAATTGAATTTTGTTTTTATCCATTCAGTTTTTCAATTTTATTTTAGTTTAAATTTGAATAATTTAGTAATGTTCTTATTACAGTGTCTTTTTTATTTTCTAGATTTCTATTTGGCTTTAATTTTATTTTTTTACTGAGTTTGAGTAATTTTACTGCTTTCCGTTAGATGCCAAGGCAACCTTTTTAATTTTCATTTAAATTTAAGTTTGAAGTTTTTAATCTAATATGTATATTTAATTTTATTGCAGCTTTATTTCAATTACCAAAAATTATTTTAATAATTTTAGTTTTAGTTTAGTTAATAATATCAGCACTGAAGGTGGACATCACAACATTATAATGTACAGTATGAAAAACTGATATTTTGAGATTTGTTGAAGATCACAATTAACTTGTTTCTGGGATTTTGTGTGATTTTAAAGATTAATTTTAAGTGAGTGTTAGATGTAAGGTCATCTAAATGTAAAAAAATAGGGGATATGAGCATGTATGCTTAAATTCTTAATAAGAATCCCTTATACGAAGCGTTAAAACTGAAATGAACAGGACCTTGCCACTTTTTCACAATTTAAAAAAAATATTTTTTTCTTCAGGGATACCAGGAGAAAAATAAATTTATTGCTGCACAAGGTAAAAATGGCTTTAATTAATGACTTTCATAAATATATAAATACTTCTGCATTTATTAACCAACAAAAAAAGCTAAACTCAAGATTTTTCATTGCAGGACCGAAAGAGGAAACGGTCAATGACTTCTGGAGGATGATCTGGGAACAGAACACTGCCACCATCGTCATGGTAACCAATCTGAAAGAGAGGAAAGAGGTAAATGCCACAAGAAATCTATTAAATGTAGGCTAGTGTCAAAGGAGAAGTAAGCTGATCTTTGATTTTACAACCTCAGCTCTTATCGCGGTCTCACATGATGGATTTAGAGTGCAACTTTGAGGAAGATGGCCATTAATAAAGATGTGTGATCACTGCAGTGATGATGATTATGATAGATTGTGCTTCATATCCACAGTGTAAATGTGCTCAGTACTGGCCTGACCAGGGATGCTGGACCTACGGAAATATCCGTGTGTCAGTGGAGGACATGATGGTTCTGGTTGACTATACCATCCGCAAGTTCTGCATTCAGCAGGTAAGAAGTAGTGGTTGACCAATATACACTGAACAAAATTATAAACGCAACACTTTTGTTTTTGCCCCATTTGTCATGAGCTGAACTGAAGATGTAAGACTTTTTCTGTGTACACAAAAGGCCTATTTCTCTCAAATGTTGTTCACAAATCTGTCTAAATCTGTGTAAGTGAGCACTTCTCCTTTGCCGAGATAATCCATTCACCTCACAGAATGCTGATTAGACAGCATGATTATTGCACAGGTGTGCCTTAGGCTGGCCACAATAAAAGGCCACTCTAAAATGTGCAGTTTTATCACACAGCACAATGCCACAGATGTCGCAAGTTTTGAGGGAGCGTGCAATTGGCATGCTGACTGCAGGAATGTCCACCAGAGCTGTTGCCCGTGAATTGAATGTTCATTTCTCTACCATAAGCCGTCTCCAAAGGCGTTTCAGAGAATTTGGCAGTACATCCAACCGGCCTCACAACCGCAGACCACGTGTAACCACACC